GAGTTGTCACTGGCGCCTAACTGCTTTCATCTTATTGTGTTTATGTAGATATTCTAAAATTCAACAAAATCTGTAATCCAAAACCCTTCTGGGCCCAAGCATTTTGGATAAGGAATACTCAACCTGTACATGTAAAATCCTTTAACTGGTGTGATGCCTGAAGTATAGCTTATGCTTAAGCTGCTATTGTTGCAGTTTCAAGGCCAAAAGTGGCCATTTCATACATTTGAGACTGAACTCATAACCCTTTATTCTTTGCCTGTACCAACCTGACAAAACCCCAATTCTGCATTAAACCACAGGGCTCTTCATTGTATGCCTGTGATGCTGAACAGTGCTGGGGAAGGTGCCATCCACAGACTGGTTATGCTTTTGTGATTTCATACTTGACCTAGGCTACTTTACCATTCAGCTGTCCTGCTTGTCCCCAGCTTTGGCCTCAGTGGACCGTGGCCTTCTCCTGTCTAAGACTAACTCTTTCACCTGCCTCTGCATTCTTACCTCTTTCAGAACCTGAGCAATCAGTTGTCTTTCACTCCTGAATCTTCACTTGAGTTTTCTGCTATGCTGACTTTCCCCTACTCTAGATATATAAGGTCAAGCCTTTTCTCTTAAAAACAAAACAAAAATTTCCAGCTTTCCTAGTTCCTGTATCTACCTCAGGCCTGTAACCTTATCTTTCTCTTTTTCTTGGTGGCCAAGCTTCTTGCAAGCTTTATGTATACTCACTATCTACTTCCTCATTTTCTCCTGCTCTTGCTGTTATCTTTTCAACCCCCAGTGATCTGGTGCCCGCTGCCCTGCCCGCCCTTCCTTGAAACCTCCAGTCAGGGTCACTGAAGGGCCACCCTTTCTGTAGTGCTCGCCTCTGAGAATGAAGCACTTGCCTTTGTAGCTTCTGGGGCACCCCCATCCCGGCACCCTTTCCCTTTTGGCTTTGCTGGTTGCTTTCAGCATCCTCTGCAGGCTTCCCTTTTACCTACCTCTAAGTGTTGGAATTTTTCCTGGACTCATTCCTCAGTGTTTTTTTCCTGACTTCCAATGGTTTCAACTAACATGTATCCTTAGGCCAAACATTTTTCCTGAACTTTCCATTCATGTCCTATGTCAGTTTACTTGGGCTGCCATAACAAAATACAATAGACTGGGTGGCTTAAATAACTTAATTCTCACAGTTCTGGAAGCGTCTAAGGTCAAGGTGTCAGCAAACCTGGTTCTTGTGAGGACTGTTTTCTGGCTTATAGACAGCTGCCTTCTTGCTGTGTCCTTGCATGGCAGAAACAGAGAGATCTCTTATATATCTCCTAGGAAGGGTACTAATCCCATCTTAGGGGCTGCACCTTCATGAGCTAATTACTTCCCCAAAACCCCATCTCCAAATACTATTACACTGGGGGTTAGGGCTTCAACATACTAATTTGGTGAGGGGAACACAAACATTCAGTCTGCAATGTACAACAACCCAATGGATATCTCTGCTGGACTGTTACACAGACTCTTATGATTACAGCAGGTTAAAAGCTTACCCACAATCCTGCTTCTCTTGGGTTTTTCCTACAGAATGCCAGTCTCTGCTCAGACACCTAAATCAGATATTTAAAAACTTATCCTGCACATATTCCTGCCCCCTCATGCCACAGACAAGCAAGTCCTGTGACTTCTGCCCCCTGAATTTCCTTCTAAGCTGCCCCTTCTCTGTTGTTGCCTGTCTTCTAGCTTAAGCTCTTGTATTTTTCACCTATAGTATTGCTTTGTCTTGTCCTTTCTGGATCTACCCTCTACACCATCTCTAGAGTGAACTTTTTTTTTGAGTTGGAGTCTCACTGTCGCCCAGACTGGAGTGCAGTGGCTGCTCCCAGCCACCGCAGCCTCGACCTGCTGGGCTCCGGAGCTCCTTCTGCCTCAGCCTTCCAAGTAGCTGGAACTGCAGGCGCACGCTACCACACCCGGCTGATTTTTTTGATTTATTGTAGAGATGAGGTCTGGCCTGCCCAGGCAGGTCTCGAACCCGCGGGCTCAGGCAATCCACTCACCTCAGCCTCCCAAAGGCACGGGATTACAGGCTGGGCCACTGAGCCCGGCTTAGAGTGAACTTTTAAAGAATGAAAATCTTTTGGTATTACCTGATTTCAGTTCTTCAAGATAAGATGCCAAGTCTTCCTGGCCAGTTCTCTCCCTGAAGAATCACTCACAGTGCCTGGTGTGCCTTGGAGTTCCCAGTTTCTGTGCCTTTGCACTTGCCTCATCCCCCTCCAATGCCTTCCACAGCCTGCCCACACCTGCCCACTTCTCTGCCGTGTTAGCCGGTCTCCTTCAGGTGGTGTTTTCTCCTCTGCACAGGCATCTTCAACCCTGCCTAAGTTAGATGTTTTGCTCCTATGGTCCTGTACCTTGGATAGCTCCCCACAGGTGACAGAACTCAGGCTGTGGGTGGGTCGTGTCTGTTTCTTCCAATGGGCTGGAGAAGCATTGAAAACTCAGATGTCGCTTATTCATGTTTATGCTTGGTGGCCTATAGATTTCTATCATATATAAGGTGCTTAATAAATACTTATTGAATAAATAAATGAAATAAGCATATGACTGATGACTTCTAGTTACTGGTGAATGTATTGGACAGAAATAGTTTAAAGAAGCAGTTCAGAAAGCAGCACTGGTCCCCACCCCCTATTTGGGTCTTACCTCTGTTACATTTTGGAAGTTGGGGTACACTAAGCCAAAGTTTCCTGGATTTGCCATTCTTGTCGCTTGGACTTTTTGATGTCTGGACAGTTGCAGATGCCAGATTTCCTCCTGTATCTGACAGAACCTGAAGAAGGCTGTTCTCCGCAGGCCCCTCCTCTAGGTCCTGTCTCATGTGATATGCGATCCTACAGGCACGTGCAGTGATCATAGGCCTCCATGCAGCTTGTTCTGTCTACCCCAGTTCTGCCTTTCGTGGTTCTACCAGATCTGCTCTTATAACCATCTGTGCCCATTAGAGTCTTAACTTGGCAGGACTCCATATGTGACTATGTACCACAGAGTGTCGGGTGGTCTCTCAGAAAGCAGTCTTGTGGTTGGTGATTGAGTGACTGGCTTTAGTTTGGGAACTCTATTAATACAAACAGAATAGCACCACAGTCAGTGCTTTTATGATTCCCCCAAAGCAGAGGTAGAACCCTAGATCTAGAACCTGATTCTATGCAGGCTTCTGCCAGGGGCATGCCCAAACCCTCTGTGCCTGCGGCTTTTTAGTCCTCTTTGTTAGGATTTCCAGGGACAGGGGAGTGGGGGGTGGGTAGGAGGTGTGCTGGATAGGCCGCCTCCTCCTGTGGTCCACTTCCATTTTGCTACCCTGTCACAACACTATCTTACTTGAAGACAGTAGTGATAAACCCTTTTACTGTGGAACACATTCTCTGTGCCACATCCTTAGGAAACATGAGTGAGACACAGCTCTGGCCTCGAGTCTAGATGAGAAGACGGACATCCAGGCCCGCTTGATATGCTGTGTGCTAAGTGCACAGAGCATGGCGGGAGCCCCAATCCTTGTGGGTGGACATTGCACCTGTTTATTCCTCTTCAGGCACAGAGAACCCGATGCCAAGTTCCCTGCACCATCCACCTGGAAAACAGCCACGGGTTCTCTGTCAACCCTTTGTCTCTCAGGCTAAGCCTCTGATCATCTAGAGGGTCATATCAGGGTGCAGGGATGTGCAGAAGGCAGTCTGCTGCCTGTGTCCCCTCCCCACTGGTTTACAAAGGGGAAGAAGAGCTGTCCCCTGAGGCCTCTGTCAGGACCATCTTCTCCGTTAAATGCATGCCTTTGCCACCCTCAACAGGGCTGTCTCCCCAGTTCCTGGAGCAGCCGGGAGGAAAACCAAGCACACTGTTTACTTTCTAAATACCAAGCTTGTTTCCCCAGATGATTGTGTGGGTTTCATAGGAAAACTTCCTTGAACGGTTTGTTCTACAAGGCAGGCACTCAAATGACTGAGGCTGTTGCCTAGGCTCGCTGCAGGATTGGGGCCTCAACTCTGTATTTCCTGCTTACGTCTACCTGTTCCATTTTACAGTCAATACTTGATCTCTGAACACGCATGACAAATCTTACTTGAAGACAGTAGTGATAAACCTGGTCTCAAAAGTAGAGAAGGAATATAGTTCCTGGGAAATTCCCAAGAATTGTCTGGTGTTTTTATAGAGTCTGAGAAATGGGAGCAGGGAAGGAAGGAAAAAAAGAAATAGAACTTTCATACATTGGTATGAGGCAATATGCTGTGTATGGGATTAAATAAAGCATGGTCGTGGTCTTCAGTGGAAAGGAATAGAAGTAGGAATTAGAAAAGCTAGATGAGGAAGGCATGGAAAAGCAGCCACCCGCCTCCCTTCTCCTACCCCTGCTACCTCCTACAGGCCTCTTACCAGCTTCTGCTCTTGGCAAGAGGGTCAGAGTCAGACTCTGAGGGCTGGGAGACAGATACTCTTAAGATGGGGCCTCACATCTCCCGGTCCATATTCCTTAGTCAGGGATCCCATACCTGTCCAACTAACTGAGCCTCTAATTTCGTAGTTGAAGAGAGGCCCAAGGTGTGAGGTGATTTGCTCCAACAGCTCATTAGGGACCTGGCAGGGGCAGAGCTCCATGTTTCTGAACTCCTGGCATAGGGGTCCTTCCTTTGGCTTATTCCGTCCCTGAGCTGCAATGAGGGAAGATGACCGCCACTGCCTTCTTCCAGTGTCCCCACACCCTGTCACTATAAATGTGCCAACCTGACAAAGCTGTCACCTCTAGGCTTGAGGAAATGTTCCCCTTGTTTCTGGACTTAAAAAGTCATTAAGATGGGAACATCTTATTGGTCTGAGAATATACTTTTTAATGTCCTTGAGTGAAAAGAGATGTGAAAATGTTAGGAAGCCAGCAGGCTTGACGTAGTTGAAAGCCAAAGTGTTAGGAAGGAAAGACATTGCTCTTGGTGTCCTCATTCTCTTCCCTGCCTCTCCTGCCATCCCTGCAGGCCGGCAGCTCACTGGAGCCGAGAGGGCCTCCACGGCCACTGCGGAGGAGACTGACATTGATGCAGTGGAGGTCCCACTCCCGGGAAATGACATCCTGGAATTCAGCCGCGGGGTGACCGACCTGGACGCTGTAGGGAAGGAAGGAGGCCCCCATGCAGGATCCAAGGTAGGCAGGAGTGGTCTATCCCGGTGATCTGCATAGGTGTGTCCTCCTAGCCCCTGCTAGCTCAGCTCCCGAATGGGATGTCCACAGCATGGTGGTGGCGCCAGAGTACATGTCACTTTCTTTTGGAGGGAACCGGTGTACCCCTGTGTGCTGATGCGAAGTGCTACTGCTTGCCTGGATGCCACAGAGCTTATTCCTGACACATGTCGCCCTCCCAGCACCCCACCAGTGTTTGATTCCTTCTCCTTGACACCCTCTACCCTTAACAGAATCTCATCTCTGTGCAGTGTTTTGCAAGGCTCACCCTGGCACAGCCACACACATGACTCAGCTGAGGGAGCTAAGTCACTTTGGGCCCCCTCTGCCTGCAACTAGTGATTTTGTGCCTATGATACCCCTATAGCACTGTGGAATCTGGAAATTGGCCCTCTGGGTGTTAGAAACAGGGAGACCACCTTAGTCATCAACATATAGGTGAGGTGACTGAGGTCCCTAGGAGTTCTTCATCTGGTTCAGATTAAGAAACTCAGGGCTTGAGACCAAATTCCAACCTGAAGACAAAGTTAAATTAAAATTGTAAAAGCCCGGAAGAAGAATTACTGACCGTTGCTCTGCCCTCAGGTTCTCAGCCCATTCACCAGTATCAGGGCACCTCTCTTTCCTCATCATGCACGTGTTCTGTCTCAGGTGGAGGTCGTTAGGCCAGTTCCTCCAGAGGAGAAGTCTTTCTGGTTTGGAGGGTGGTATAGTTCTAAATTGCCTGCCTGACTTTTCCTTTGGTGCCCAGTTTATCCCCTACATGTGGCAAGGCCCCTCTGTCACAGGGGACCTTCCTCTTATGTGTCTGAAGAAGGCCCAGCAGCAGAATTGCCAGAAACAGAATGTCTCTCCCTGTCGTTGAACTCTGTGAATTGTAGAAACCGTGTTGGTAAAAGTGTCCACAGGAGAGAGAGAAGAATGTGAGGAAAAGAGACAGAAACTGCTTTCTCCAGATCATTATTAGTTTTTATATCCAAACTTTCTTCCCTGGTGGTTCTCACTGTAAGAGGAGACAGTGAAGGAGGGAGGCGGTGGAGGCTAGAGGCAGCCTCCCCTCACAGGACCCTTCCTTCCAGGGTCCAACTCACAAGGAACATCTGAGACCCTGGAGCCCTGAGACCATAGTAAAGAATGAAGCTACCTCCTCCCTGTTCTCACGGTGGGGTGGTAGAGCTGTGTTTTCCAGAAATCGATTCTTCTAGGTCTAGAACCTCGAGTAACTTAACAACAAGGTGTCATTGGAAGCCGTGAGTAAGAGATGGCGTAGTATCTACTGTCTGTCTCCCATTAGCAACTGAGGTGTCCAATATGACTTTCTAGCTGTGTGGCTCCAGCCCAGGCTGCTACACTGCTTCCTTCCTGGAGCCCTATTCCCATTCCCACTGAAGATGCAGCATTATCAGGTCTTGGGTGGCAGGTGATCACTTCAGCCCTCGTGCGTCCAGTGTATGTTATGAGGAGAGGGATGGCTCCTGCCGTGTGTAATGTCCTGTCTTTGCTTCTCTATCAGATCTCGCCACAACCCCAGGAGCCCATGCTGACAGCCTCGCCCAGAATGCTGCTCCCCTCCTCATCCTCAAAGCCTCCGGGCTTGGACACGGGGACACCACTGTCCACTCACCACCAGATGCAGCTCCTCCAGCAGCTCCTCCAGCAGCAGCAGCAGCAGACGCAAGTGGCTGTGGCCCAGGTTCTCCTCAGCCTCCTCCCTACTTCGCAGGCTCCACTTTCATGGGCTTGACGCGCCTCCCCTAACTAGGGGCACAGGGCAGGTTTAAAATCTAGGGAGCCATAGGAACTGCTCATGCTGTTGAATCATTGCTTGTGGGAGAGTGGGGGCAGTGGGAGGGGGTGAGACGGGGGATGTGATTGAGATGGAGAGGCACATCTTGGTTTCCTGTGAATCCCCCGCTCTTAGTTGGGCTTGGCTGGCTTGGCTGAATGTTGTTGGTTGACTTGAACTGACTAAGGAAAAAGATGCACATGATTCCACCCTTCCTTTCCTGCTTTATTTTCCTGGTGTCTGGGGTTGGGAAGGGATGCCTTCAGAGTCAGGACAGGTGTGACTGTGTGATACCACTCGTAGAACAGCTCAAAGAATGAATCTGTGCCAAACACCCTGGTAAATACCACCACACTGGCATCCCAAGCTTCCTTGTCCATAACGGGTTTCCAAGCCCTTGATAGTGAGTAGTCAATACAACACTGGCCTTGGAATTCATTATAATGGGATTTCACTTACAGGAATTTAGGTATATTATTGGAGCCATAATGAGAAGAATTGGCTTAGATCTCAGGATCAAGGGGTTTGTGCCCTGAAGATTTGTTGGGCTATTGCTACTTTGTACAGGAGGGTGAGCTAATTTCCCTTGCTGCTTTGAGCAGGGATTCTTCCTGTTTGCTTTCTGTGGAGGGCACTGTATTCCACATCTTCCTTGAACTTAAGAGTCTGAGCTTCATCTCTACCACGGGCAGTCAGGGAATGGTGAAGACACATTGACTTGTACTATTTAAAGGCTGAATCCTGAGGCAACAGAAAGGCTCAGGGCCTGAGGGGTAGATGAAGATGTTAGGAGGGTGGGTCTTTCGGATGTTGGGAAGGATCGGGAAAGGCAGCTCTATGCATCCGCATTCTAAATCGGCTTGACCAGGTTGTTGACTGTGTAGGTCTTCTATATTCTAGAATGGCGGGGAGCAGACCTTTCCGAGGAGCACTTACTGATCTCTGTTGTTTCTTCTGCTTACTCTTCTCCTGGCTCTCGGGTAGAAGCATCTGGCAGCTGAACCATGAAGGGATCTGCTGTGGGTCGGCTCTTGAAAAGACCTTGTAACACGGTTTCCACTAACCCAGGCCTGAGGCCCAAACCTTATGGATGACTTTTGTGGTCAGGTTTCAGAAGAGTTGAGTCAGTGGGACAAGCTGTCAAGTCATTGGGGCCTTGAAAAAAAATCTTACCATGAAACAAAAGGATGTGTAATGATAGTAGGAGGATTTGCAGGTGTTCTAAAACAGCAACAGTGAGGAGGCAGTGTCATTAATGGCATCGTATATTTGGAGGAAAAAATCTTTCCTCTTTGTCAAATGAAAGAATTTGTCTCCTGTGGTTAATGACCACGTGACAGTCTGAGAATCCCCTCCTCCCCAGTGCGATGGCTGACAGGAGCACAAAGCCGGAGCACTCCTGCAGGAAGCCCTTCCCAGACTCGCATCGTTTCCAGAAGTTTCCCACTGAATACAGATCCAGTCTTCTGCCATCATACTTTCCTCTTTCTGCATATCAATTGCAAAGTAATTATTATTTGTCTAAGAGTGGGCTTGATGCATATTCATGATATCATATTATCAGAGAGGCATTTGAATTTGAAGTTGTTGCTGCTAAGCACTAAAAAGAAACTACTTGCAAATGTGTAATCTACACAACAACAAGAATGTTGTGGCAGTGGGAGGATGCACTCAGTCTACAAAACAACAGGACCTGTAAGTATCATGGGTCTCCCACAGAAAACCCTAAAAGTGGTTTTCTGGTTTCGAATCAGGCATCTGTCTCAACAGGGCATCCCTGCTGTGGCTCACTTTTAATTTCCTGTCTCCTAGAAGACTGTCAGTCTAGGGGAAGGGGCGAGTGTAGTGTTTGAGGTTTGCTTCACCAGCCTCTGTCAGTTCCAGCCACTTTTGCAGGCTGGGCACCCTTAGCCTCTCCCTCATTTGGAACCTGTTGAATCTAGTTGACAGTACCCTGCTCGACTCTGAATACAGGCAGTGACATAATTGAAAGGCCGCCATAGTGCATCCATGTCCCACATTGTAAGATGACTTTGGGAAGTTATAGACTTCCAAAATCTTCAAATTGGTTGGGATCTTGGTGTCATCTGAGAGTTTCTTGAACACACTCCTCTACCTCTATCTGCCACAGCCATCAGTCAGTCTCTGAGCACCTTCTTTCTGTTTGCATCTTGCTTTGGCTGCCTGGGAGCACAACAAGGGTATTTGTACCTCTTGGCTGACTTTCAGCTCCCCTGACCTGCAGACAGAGTCAGTCCTAACCTCACTTTCAGTTAGAGATGTCTCTGTACATTCCTCTTTCTTCCACTCTCTTTGTAACATTTCATCCCAAGGGCTTTTTATGCGTATCTGTACCCTTGGGTAAAAACAATTATGTAAGCTATGTGACTGGGTTAATAGACAGGTTTCCTTGGTGTCTTTCACACATTTGAAAAAGACCAAATACAGCATGCCTGGTTTCTCTGCATGAGTGGCACTGATTTCAGTTTCCATCACAAGGTCAGTTTTTACTTGTTCTGTCAGACTCTATTGCCACCAAACTACAGTGTTTCTGTCTTTCTACCAGCAGCTGTCCCCAGAATTCCAATGAGTAAAACTGTGACCTTAGCATTTCAGGTGGGAATACATTTTCCTTTTCTCTGGGAGCATCCAAATTCCCCTATGTGGTTCCTGGATAAAAATCTAAGGATGAAGACACACTTTCTTTTAGACAGGTGTACTCTTGGGGTCACTTGTATTATTTACACCCCCCACCCCTATTTCCTCTCACAGGTTCTGCTGTTACCATGGGGACCAGGCATAGGTCTCCTCCCCAGTATTCTGATGTGGTCTAAGAACTCAAGACCTCTCCCAGCCTCACTCTAAATGGCTTCTGAGCTGGCCTCAAAGGTCCTGCCCTGGCCTTAAAGGTATATGGGCAAAGATGGTGTTGAACCACTTCCTGAGTATTTCCAGGTTAGCCCTCAGTGTGTAAATAGTGAAAACCCAAGTCTCTCTGACCACTCTCCTGACCCAGCATGAGGCTTGCCTGGCTGCACTAGCTTCCTGCTTTTAGATGGACCAGAAGTTCAAGGGTGTGAATGAGTGTTTAGCCAAGCCTTGAATCAAAGCTGGGATGTAGCTGGCACCTGCATGGCCATTGGCCCACCTGCATAGCCACAGAATTGATCTGGGCACTGTGGCTGACTGACAACAGATAAATAGGCCAGGCCTATTCACAGTTTGCCAATTCCCAGTCCCGCTTATGAGGAAAACGTTAGTGTAGCTCAGTATTGCTATTTAAAGATTTCTCCCCTACCTGCTGCCACTTCCGCTTGTTCAGGAACAAGGAATTGGTTATTTATGCTTCGCGATCGTGTGTGCTGTAGTTAGAGGAACAGCGCTAAAAAAAACTCCGCCTCCCCATCCCAAGTCCTTGATTTAGCATCTGTCCTCATTGCTTCACCTAGTCCCCAGCACCCGGGTGTGTACTGCCCAAGTCCCTGCCGTGTGCATGCTGAGACAGCGCCGCCTGCCTCTGCTTGTGTGTCCCATGTGTGGGGGGCAAATCGCTCTGGTTCTCTCCACTGCCATTTTCATGTGCCTGCTGCTCCCTAACTTCAGCCTGGCCCTGCCCCCACTTCTGATGGAGGAGCTGGAGTCCAGGCAAGTAGGCTGGAGAATGAGTGGACCGATGGTCTGGTGTTGCTGGGTGGGTTGAGGGTGGGCGTCAGAGTTCTGGGAACTGGTGTGGAGCTGGAGGGTGTAGGGCTGAACTTACGTGTGTCATGCCGTGGCTGGGTTGCAGAGCTAGACGTCTAAGCACTAGCTCTCTGGGAGTCGCCTTAGTGTCATATCGCTGTGTGCCACATCACTGACTTACTCTGTGACTGCACTAGTCATTACCAAAGATGACACAGCTCTGGAAAGGGGACGCTAACTCATACCATTCCAGAAATAAATACGGTCTACCTTTGTGAAAGATGTTTAATTCTTTGAAAGAAAAGAGTGCTAAATGCAAATAAATAGCCCATCTGGAGGAAAGAGGTGGTGCTCTCTGTTCCTGTTGTGTGACTGTGGAAACAAAGCACAGAGAGCTGTAGTGGATTACTTAAACCAAGGCTGGAAATAGCACACCTTGTCTGAGCACTTCAAGTTCAAGCCTACATAGTTACAAAACACTGTACCTCAAAGCTGGAAGTAGTCCAGACAATTTTGCCTCAACCTGGCCTGGTGTGGGTTCTCCTGAGCCACAGGCTGCTGCTGCATGAGGTTTGAGCCTTATGCCTGGGGCCACTTTCAACGGCTGCAGAGGTAGAGAGGCTCAGGAATGCTGGTTTGGGCAGTGTGGCAGTGTAAGTGCTTCCACACTCACAGGACTTGAACATACCTGAAATGGTCTAATTCTGCACTTGCAGAGGTGAAATTCTCAATCTGGCATGAGGAGCATTTTCTCATGGCACTTAGTGCAGGTGGATTTACAATGGGAAGTATTTGATTCAAGGGTCTCCTTTAGGTATTGATTGTACTCCACCACTGGAACTTGGATACCTGCAAAAGAAACTTCCAACTATTTTTTTTCTCTCCTGGCTTCTGAAAGAGGAAACTCCTCTTTCCTCCTCAATCCTAATGTTTCTGACTTCACCATGGGGAACTGAGGCTTTTATTCATTGAACCCTTAACAAATTGCGCCTAGTACCAACTTACCAACCACCATGTCTACCTGGGTGAAGAATAATCAACTGAGCCTGCAGCCAGTTGACAGAGGGAGAAACTGAGGTCCAGAGGGAAGTAAATTACCTACAGTTGCCTAGGGAGTATCCAACAGCATTCCCTCTCCTGGTCTGGTGCATTCAAATGGCCTGTCCTGATAGGATGCTCAGATTGGGATGCAGGAACCTGAATCTGGCGCATGCATGCAGAGAGCCCTCAGGAAATGCCAGTTAGCAGTATGCAGAATTTTCTACTTACTTTGTTTCTATCCACTGAAAGACTTTGTTCCGTATTTCTGTGTGACATTTCTGACTGGTTCCAAAGAAAATAGTAAATGAATAATTAACAATTCTATTTGCTCAGTAAGTTCCTTTCAATGATATTCTTAGTTGGAATAAATAATGGTGCTTGCAGGTACAAAGTTAACCTGATCCTTCCCTGGGGACTGGTCTGTGGGCTTCCCACAGCAATTACCCTGTTCCTTAGAACCAAATGGATTTGGGAGACTCCCAGGCGAACGTTTTCCGGTTTCTAAGGAGGATACAACCTAAATAGCCACTCACCATCTGACATCCAGATTAAAATACAGTTGACACTTCTTTCCTTGTTGAGTGGATATAGCCGTTTCTTCGTGCTATACACTCACGACACACTTCTGCGACCAAATGTATGGGGATTGTCCCCACACACAAACCAACTAGCAGCTATGCAGCTGACACCAGGTAGCTGTCCTCTAACACCATTTGATTTTGACACTGTCTACTTGAAAACAGTGTTAGATCCCACAGATTGAGGGCTTGGACCCACAAGACTACCCTCCACTTCAGATGCCCATCAAGTAATAGATTGTCACACTTCTGACCAATCAGCTATACCTTGGCTTCCCACTACCCTCTCCCCAGCTTCAGCTGATTTTCTAGAGTGGCTCCCAGAACTCGGGAAAACACTTTATGTACATTTACTGATTATAAAGGATGTTACAAAGGATATTGATGAGCACCAGATGAAGAGATGCGAAGACCAAGGTACTGGGGAAAGGGTGTGGAGCTTCTATGTCTTCGCTGGGTATGCCACCCTCCAGGAACCTCTGCCTGTTGAGCGGTCTGGAAGCGCCCCTGAATCGAGTTCTTTTGAATTTTCAAGGAAGCTTCATTTCATAGGCATAATTGATTAAATTGCTGGCCATTGGTAATCAACTTAACCTTCAGCCTCCTCTCCTCTCTGGAGTCCCCAACCCTCTCTCATGTCTTTCCTTTGACCAGCCCCCATCCTGAAGCTCCCTGGGGGTCCCCAGCCACTCGCCATCCAATAAGCACATAAAAGACACCTTTACCACTCCAGAGATCCCAAGGGTTTTGGGAGTTATATGTAGGGAAACAAGGATGAAGCCCAAGCATATATTTCACTGTATCACAGGTGTCCTCACTCCTTTCCAGATCTTTCCTCAGTTATGCGGCAGAAAATGAGGCTGACTTCTTGACCAAGCTATCGGTTCTATCCGTAGCAGCTTAAAGGACACATTTAGTTTAGAATCCTTAGGCATCATTCCCTTAGGGGAAAGAGGGGCCCAACCCTGGGAGCCACTAATGGAAAGTGGCAGCTAATCTCATTAGTGGCTCCACTCAGCTAGAAGCAGAGTCAACTGCAAGGTCAGGTCCTCAAATTTTGGCAAGAGGGAAGCAGCCACTGTGCCCATGAGTATAAATAATTCTCTGAATGCTGGTTGTTGGGAGGGGCAGATCCTGGGCCAGCAGGTCGCTTGGCCTGGTGTGGTTAGACAGTGAGTTTACCTTGGTCCTTTACTCCCTGATAAGATATGAATCTCTTTGGGAGGACACTGTGCTTCAGAAATTCGAGTATTTGTTTTCTCAGCAAGAGAATCCACTGATGCTTCTGACTTCCCGTCTGTCTGCCCTCTCCATCCTCGTTCCACTGCCCCCAGTCACCTGGCTCCACACCGTGTTTTTGATCCAAGAACACCCTCTTCCCCATGAGCTGCCTTGGTCCAGGCCACCAAATTCATTAGTTCTTTTTCTTCAGGGACCTTCTGAAACCCTCCCTGAAGCCCTTTATCTGCTTCTTGGCACAAGAATCCCTTGTGCGAACACTGGTATTAACCTTGTGGCTCAGTTTCTTCGTGCCAGAGTCCTGATATAATTGTCCTTGTCTCTTCCCACTGAGTTACATCTCCACATGAGATTACTCACCAAGAACAGAGCAGAACAGACACCTGGGTCCCACACATGCTGAGTGAGCTGTTGTCAGCTGCTCTGCCATGAGAAGGTTGTGAATCGATGAGGGTGCTGTAAATTGTTCACTTCAGCCCTTCTAGGGTGATTGGAGAAGGCCCGCTTAAGAGTCAGTCAGCAAATGTTTGGTCCCTGCCAGGTATGAATAGCAGTCCTAGGTGTCTGCTATGGGAAAGAAAACGGGAATAGCCAGGGAAAGAAGCGATACCCACAGACTTTAAAAGACAGGCTTTATTACGACCACCTCACTAATTTAAACAGCCTTATGCAGTGCTTTATTTATTGTTACATTTGAGTATGCAGAGGGGAGGAAAAATTATATGGGGTTTGTTGTGAAACTGTGTAGCCAGTGGGTCAACAAAATCAGTGTTTAGGGGTTTTTGTTTGTTTGTTTGAGGGGTTCTCCCCTCAACAAGGCAATGCCATGTTAGGTGCTGCGAGAGTTCTCCAAGTAGGGAATGAGCACTTTGGGGGGATGGGTGAGTGTAAATAGCTCCTTCCTTCTGCCCTTGGTTTGGGGCCCAGAGTGGCATCTTAGTGATGTGTCATGGCCCTTGCTTGGGATACACAGAGAAATTCACAAGGCCAGTGGACCAGCTTCTTTTGACTCCTCCAGAATTCTAAGCCCAGGTGCCCATTCTGCCTGGGAAGGGCTTCTTCATCCTGAATTGAACTTGGAGGGCATTTCTGGTTCCAGCCATCTGCCAGCGAGTCTCATGTGCATTCATGTCCCTCTCTTCTCTCTGTCCTGTCTTCTCTGCCCCCTCTTCCTCTCTGCAGGTTCACTTGCTGAAGGACCAGTTGGCTGCTGAGGCCGCAGCACGGCTGGAAGCCCAGGCTCGCGTGCACCAGCTCCTGCTGCAGAACAAGGACATGCTCCAGCACATCTCTCTGCTGGTCAAGCAGGTGCAGGAGCTGGAGCTGAAGCTGTCAGGACAGAACGCCAGTAAGCCCATACCCTACCCAGCCTTGCCTCCTTCTGTGAAGGCTCTGGAAAATGTGTTATTCTCCCCAAAGCTTTTGGTGCTGCTTTTATGGACCTCTGACCTGCCCCTGTGTCACAGCAGAAAATAAAGGCAGCTTTGTTTGTCCTCTTCATATACTTCATGAATCACAGAATTGCAGGGCCAGAGAAGATCTTGACTGCCTTCTAATCCAGTCTCCAGGCTTGGCCTCGAACGTCCCTGCAGTCACTGCTGTGTACACAGTCTCTCCTTGATGGGGGCTTGGGTACTCTGTGCCCTCAGGCAACCCATTTCTTTCTCAGAGGACTTTTTCAGTTAAAGTACAGTATAGTGAGCACCTGTTGGGTGTCATGCTCTCTGGGATCTCTGTGGGAGGCATCTAACTGTTTACTAGTTTACTACTCTCTGCACTGTGTATGGCATGTCTCTGCTGCATAGAAAAAACTGGTAGCAGTGTATCTGGATAAGATGGTGGAGTGACAAAGATTGCCTGTTGTTCCCCGCTTTCCCCCCTGGCTCACCCAGGACGCTACCTCTACACCCAGCCCCCGCTAGACAGGACTGGGAAGCAGCAGAAGGCAGGATATTTCCACGCCTCCCACTTGAGCTTATCTGTGAGTTTTATGTGTGCTCAGAGTGTATAGGGGCTGTGTACAGGTAAATTGATCTGCTATAGCTCAGGCCAGAAACTGTGATAAATTTATATGGAAGTTCATTTAATCTTGATGGTGGTAGATGTTGATATGCCAGTCTTACAAATAAGGAAACAGATTCAGAGGGGTTAGGTAACTAACTTGAGCTTTCAGGCCTAGCAAGGAATGGAGCCAAGATTCAAACCAAATCTAATCTAACCTTTTCCCAGCTATACCAGTGCCCCCTAAACTCCCATGGGCTCCTTTAAAAATGCTTATGATTGGGTCCAACCTACAGAGATTCTGCAATATGAGGTCTGGGTCTGGGGCAGGGCTGGGAGTCTGTATCTTCAAGTGGCCCAAAGGTATGTATTGGAAACCACCATACTTGACCACTCTGTAAACCTCTCTGGAGTTTCCAGATTTCTGTTTGTTTATTAAGACCCTGCTTTATCCTAATTAATACTGATTTATAAGTTTGTACTAAAGGTTACCTCATGCTTTTTAACACCATTCTTCCATTTGGTACCTTTTTCCTACCACAAACCCCATTCAAGGCATTCAGTGGCCTCCCCAGATTATCATGTGGTGCTCACGGCCCCACAGTTTCCATGGTCCCAAAGCTCCTCTCTTCCAACCAGATGTGTCTGGGGCTGTGTGGAGGTGAAATATTAAGAGATACAGGCTTGGTGCAGTGGCTCACGCCTGTAATCTCGGCACTTTGGTATACCAAAGAGGGTAGATTACGTCACCCCAGGGATTCACGGCCAGCCCGGGCACGTTAGCGAGACCTCGTCTCTACAATAAATCAAAAAATTAGCCAGGCATGGTGGTGCGTGCCTATAATCCCAGCTACTTGAGAGGCTGAGGCAAAAGAATTGTTTGAATCCAGCAGGGTGAGGCTGCAAGGAGCCTTACCATGCTGCTGCACTCCAGCCAGGGCAGCAGAGTGAGACCTGACTCAAAAGAGAGAGAGAGACAGACAGACAGACAGACACACCGGGGTGGGGGATGGGAGAAAGAAACAGAGACATGGAGAGAGAGAGATGCAACCCTCCTGTGAGTTGGGCAGGAAAGGACTATGGCAGACACATAGACTGTCAGAAGGCAGGCTTCCCAAATCAACATCTCCTAACTCGTCCCTCCTCTTCCTCTTGTCTCCCCTCCAGTGGGCTCACAGGACAGCTTGCTGGAGATCACCTTTCGCTCTGGAGCCCTGCCTGTGCTCTGTGACCCCACGACCCCTAAGCCAGAGGACCTGCACTCGCCACCGCTGGGCGCGGGCTTGGCTGACTTTGCCCACCCAGCGGGCAGCCCCTTAGGTAGGCGCGACTGCTTGGTGAAGCTGGAGTGCTTCCGCTTTCTCCCACCTGAGGATACCCCACCCCCTGCGCAGGGCGAGCCGCTCCTGGGTGGCCTGGAGCTCATCAAGTTCCGGGAGTCGGGCATCGCCTCGGAGTACGAGTCCAACACGGACGAGAGCGAGGAGCGAGACTCGTGGTCGCAAGAGGAGCTGCCACGCCTGCTGAATGTCCTGCAGAGGCAGGAGCTGGGTGATGGCCTGGATGATGAGATCGCCGTGTAGGTGCCAGGGCCAGGAGATGGCGAGGAGGCGTGTTGTGCGGAGAGGCCATGTCTGGCTGCAGCCTGGGTAGGGGGATGTCCAGCCAATGGCAGTGCCAAGGAGAATGCCCAGAGGCCGAGAGAGTGAGGTTTCCAGAAAGGATTAAGATGTTGCTCTGGAGGGTAGAGTGGGGAAGAAATTGGATCTTCAAAGGCGAACCAGCTTCTCTCTTCTACTTGCTACTGAAGGGTGATTGGGGCAGGGCCTTCCAGAGCCCATGGCTTTGGAAGAGGATCCCTCTTCAAGACCACCAGGCTGTTGGATGAGCTACTGCCCACCTACTCTGTCGTGCCCCCAGATCCCCTCCCATGCCCTCCCCATCTCCGTGGTCTCGATCATGAAGGGAAGCCATTGGTACCTTCTCAGGTACTTTGTTTCTGGATATCAGGATGCTACCGGTTGTCTGACCCTTCCCTGACCTCTATACGAAGAATTCCTTCCCCAGGCACTTGCTGAGACTGTAGAGGTTGAGTGCTCTGGGCTGCAAAAGCCAGGCTATTCCTTGTAGTATGAGCATGGAATTGGGATGGGTCACAGTGGATGCGCTTTTAGAGGAACTGAATCCAAACATTTTCTCTAGCCAGGTGTTGGATGTTGCTTCAGAGAGAACCTGGGAGCTTTAACATGGTTCAGACCCTTGCTTTGAGAACCCAGGGGGGACAGCCTGTTTGCTGCCACAAGTCACTTAGATCTGATTTTTCAGTTAGACAGCCCTGCCCTGCCCACCTCCTGCTTGAAGCCCAGCCCATCTACATGGAGGCTGGGAATTGCCCCCTGCCTCCTCCCCACCTGTGCCCTGCCACGGGGGCTGTGCCAACTGAAACTTTGCAGCACTTTGCCTCTATGAAAGCCTCCAAGACCTAGAGCCCCCAGCCTTACCTCTTATCCTGTGCCCTCCACTGGGCAGTAGTGGTCAATTTTTATTTCCCAAAAAAGAAAAAAGTAGGAACACAGGTTGTTAGCTGAGACTGCTTTTGTCTACTCTTCGGAAACACTGCCACTTGGGTCAGGGACCACAGCCCCATCCCCCTTGGCCCGTCTCTCTGGGTGCGTGCCTCAGGCACACCTGTATAAAGTGCCACGTGAGATTCTCCTTTTACCGTCTAGCCTTGTCCAGGCATCACTACTCCGGGACGGGGTGGCTGGGGCAGTGAGGAAAAGCTCCTTTTGCTCCTGTAAGGCCTTAAGTGGCTGTTTACAGATTTTCGAGTGCCTGAAGAGATTGCCGAGACATGCTAGAGTCATATGTTTGGGGAATTAAGTCTTTATCTTGGACAGCAAGCTACAGACCCAGACTGCAGTATTATCAGAGGGTCAATTGGTAAGGATATGGTCACCCCAAAATGTGGTTTGCCAACCCTAGCTTTGCTTTAGAATTTCTATAAATGAAAGCGCAGCCCTTTTCTTACAGCCATAGTTGGATTTCTTGTAGTCCAGAAAGTCCAAATTAAAGGAAATAAATGCAGCTTTATGTTAGCCCTCCTTGGTGCATCAGGGTGCCAGTGAAAATAGGAAGGGTGGTGAGTGTGTATGTGTACACATATGTTCATATGTACACATGTTTGAGGGAAGGTGTGTATGTGTATGTGGGAATGTGACAGAGAAAAGAGAATAGGAATCTCCAGGGTGTTTGAATCAATAGCCATATGTTTTTTTCCTTACATGGATTTAGTTGGAGAAGAGTGGTTCTATTTGCTTTGTTATATGATCTTATTAACCACTGGAAGTAGGTCCAGATATACAGGGAAAGAAGAACCAGAGGAGGGAGATCCGTGAGACTAAAGGAACAGCTGTCAGAAATCTAGTGTGTCTGAACCTAGCTTGCTTATGAATCTAACTTGGGATTCTTGAGTCGGAGCCCTCTTAGATTATTAGAATTTTGCGTGGCCAGGAGAAGGAAAGATCTGTTTTCTCCAGGCAAATAGGAGCGAAGGATAAAGCCTGAGGCCGGTGGATGAGGTGTGTGGAATGTGGTTAGAGAAGGCTTGAGGGGGTGGGGCTGGAGAGTGAATGAGGAAGGCAGTTGCTAAAATTGTCTTGAGAAGCTTGAGAAGGGAAAGAAGAAAGAAAATGGAGAGATGAAAGTTATCTGTGTTGCTGACTCTGGGACCCATTCAAGACTCTTGCCTTTGGGGTGTTCCGTGGGGGGTTCCACCTGCCTTGGCCCCACCTTCCCCAACTCGGGTCCTCCCTGGAGCCCTGGTTTGTGTCTTGGCATCCTCCCCAGTGTGACCCAAACCAGCACACACTTGGTGTGTGGAGGTGGAGACCAAAGGACAGATGTTGGGTCCTTGAAGGATCACCAGCCATGGGGGCCTACTGGGCAGGAAAGGGACCGTTGCAGACCTGGTTTAACAGCGATGTCCCCCCGTCCTCCTTCCTCCTCGCTTCTCACCCCGCTAACTCAACTCTGCCTCCCTCTTTGTCATCCTGCTCTGCCCTGTGTGGAGGACAAGTGGACACCAGGGACACCTACCTTATTGGTGTCCACCCCAGCCTGTCCCAGTTGCCAGCAGACTCTCAGGCACAGGAGGCTCTCACAGTTACAGAGCCAGGAAGGAATTTCTCTGCACTGGATGGACTGTATATTGGGACTGAAAACTATATTCCTTATATTCCTGCTTCTATCAATGCTCTCTGTAAAACCTCTTCCTGGCCTCATTTCTCTCAGCTGGTCCTGTTTAGGAGTTGTATTCCTTTTATTTACTCTTTGCTTGACTGCTTCCTCCTCCTCCCTCCCCCCAGCCTTCTACTTCCTAAAACTGTTGTGTCATTAACTCTGTTGGATCAACTCTCTGGGAAAAGATTCTGTTCATGTAAGTGCACTTACTCCCTGGATGTTGTCACTAGTCTAGTGGCTTTTGCTAAATAAACCTTTCTTATTTCTAAAAAGCTTTTCCATTGTCTTTTCTTGCTGCTTTTCTGCCTGCTCCTTCTCTCCTCCTCACTTTCACCCCACTCCCCTAGCCAGGCGGCATCAGCTCTGTGACACGGTTCCCAAGGGTGTGGGGTTTAGGAAGAATTCTCAAGTTCCCTGAAGGTGGAGAGGAAGATGGTGGCTTCATGTGCAGTTTCTGTAGACCAGCCTTGCAGGATCGGATTTTATCAGTGGGTTCTTAACCAGTGGTGAGTTCACTTCCCCGGGGGCTATTTGACAATGTCTGGAGACATTTTTGGTTTTCACAATGCTGCTGGCATGTAGTGGGTGAAAGCCAGGGGTACAGCTAAATGCCTTTCAGTGCACAGGACAGACTGCAGCTCCCCCCGCCCAACAAAAAATGATCCAACCCAAAATGTCAGTTGGGAAACTCTGGTCTATACTAACTTTTGCAGACTTTTCTGACCACAGGTTTTTTTCAAACCTCAACTATTATTGGAATACGTAGGCAGTAGTAGCAGCAAGTTTTGAGGGCTTGATGAAGTACTATGTCATAGGTGTTTTCCAATATAACTATATAATTGCATAATCATGACTGTCCCATGTACTGACTCCCTGACTAAATGTCTGAAATAGGTAGTTGGGAGAAGTCTGAATGGGTCCATTCCAGAAATATCCATGTTGGGAGCAACACAGGCTCCTCCCTATACCTACCTGGGAGGATTTTATGGTGTCACTGCAACACAACTCAACAGATTCATCCCAACTCATGGGAATGTGGGCTTCCCTATGGTGGGTAAGACGAAAGGGAGGAGGAAGCTGAGAAAGGAGGGGATGTTTGAGAAACAAGGAGTGAAAATATACAGAGCACTTTTGGGGAGCTAGACTGCTTTGCTGGTACTTTTAGCCATTCTGAAGGCAGAGGGTGCGTTAGGCCTGATACTTTGTCAGGCCCAGGCAAGAGGAAAAGTTGGAAGGATCAGATAAGCCAGATTCGCATGTCCTCTGTTCTTTTCTGGCTGAGTGAACTGAACTGAGCTTTACAGTCTCATGTGTAAGATGGGGATAGTATGAACCACATAAAGCTATTGTGGAGAGTAAATGAGATTGTATGTTAAAAGCCCCCAGCAGATAGTGCCTGGCACTGACCCAGGATATAGTACAGTTTACCTTTTGTTAGCTTCCTCCCACCTGCCCCTGTGCTGGTCAGTGGAGTTGTTTGCTGAGTGCTTTTTCTTGCTGTGCTGAGACTTTATGCAGCTATGTACTGATAAAATTCCTGGGGCTATAACCGAGACTGCATTGACCATGAAATATGGAAAGTTCCTTGTCTCTGGGGAGAAGACACTAACCACAGGCACCTGCCAGGCGGCATGGGCTGTGACACTTGGGCTCAGTCCCTGGCCCAGTTGCTTTTCCTCTTGTGATGTGTCCGTACCTGTCAGGCAGATGTCCTGGAGGAAGGAGTGTGGAGTTGGTGGAGGACAGCAGATATGATTAGGATGCTTCCTTTCCTGATTCTCCCAGGTGGTGCTGACACTGTGAGCGGTCTCCTCCCTCCCTTTTCTGTCATGTGTGCCCCTTCTTGTACTAACTTAAGAGCCTCATCAAAGGGACACACATGCACAGCCACATGGTAAGGAGGAAGCTTCCAGGGCGCAAGTGGCTTTTCCATTCATGGAAGCAGTATTTCAGAGTAAGGCCCAGAAAGACCTGCCCAGAGTAACTCATCTGCCCCCTCAGGGGATGGGGTCCTGGGAATGATGTCGGAGCTGCTGAGAGACCATCTCTCCCAAAGTGGATCGGTGATGATCCACACGTCCCGGCTCCTGGTCGGGTCACGTAGCCTCTGAGACGTTGACTGGGTGGAGTAGGGGACAGAACAGGGTGAGAAGCAGCAGTTGGGGGTGAAGGTCCAGAGTGCTCTCACTGGACTGAGATTGTATGTTAAAAGCCTCCAGCTTTTGAGGTAATGGGGATCTGAACTCAGCCTCTCTCTCTCTCTCTCTCTCTCTATGGGAAACCAAAGAACCACACGTGAGATTTGGGTTGCACAGTGTTAAGCAGAGCAGCTCTGCTTAAACCACAGAGTAAGGGTCTAGCAAGAGCTAATGTGTATCCACTGGGAGGGTGAGGGAGGACCCTCCGCCCCACCTGCTGGCCAACCTGTGAGGGAGGCAAAGACTAGGGAGGGTTTGGTGCCAGTGTTCCTGAAAGGCCATGCCCTACTGCAGCCAGAAGGTCACTAAGTCACTGGGGAAATAAAACAAGAAGGAAATAAGGTCTAAAAATACAACTAACATGTTCAGTTTTGTTTGTTTTTTTTTTCTTCATTTTTTAAGCTCTATATAATGGGCAAAGTAGATGTCTTTGTTGTGTCCCTGATGCTCACCTATCTTTCTGGGTCAGATTGGCAGTGAGGTTCACTCAGGAATGGAGTAAATTTAGGCTGTCCACTGGGCTCATTACTTGGTAACAGGAAACAGCGTCCTCCCATGTTTACCTGCCCATTTTGACCTGACTTAAAGCAGTCGTGAAAAGATATCACCTGGGTCAAAAGCAGTCCTGTTCTGCTTAAGAGGTGCCTGCTCAAAGTAAATGACGGTGCTATGTGCAATGGGAACAGGCTCAGCCTGATTTGCCCCTTTCCTACCTTACGCTTAGAGGCATATGTCCACCCCTCAGAAGATCTGCCATTTAAGAAGTCTTTAGAAAAAACTGCAGAGATTCCCTCCACCTGCAAACAGGAGAGGACATCCGACCCCTTTTCCCCAGTGTGGGGCAAGGACTGGCCGTGTGGGGACCAACTGGAAGGCTGGCATCCTAGAGCAGTGGTTCTCATAGCTGAGCTGCACCAGAATCACCTGGAGGGCTGGTCGGAAAACAGATTTCCAGGCCCACCTCTAAAGTGTTGAATTCAGTAGGTCTGCATAGGGCCTGAGGATCCCCAGGGAATGCTGAGACTGCTGGTATGGGCACCTCACTTTGAGAACCACTGTCTTAGAGGACATGCCCAGGCTTTCAGGTATTGGCTTTATTTTTAAGAGAGCGAAAAAGAGAAGGGCAGGGAGTAGGTGTGGTGTTGCCAGGCAACTGTCAGCCAGCAGATATGAGAGCTGGAATCTGGGAGGGACAGCAGGTGGTACAGGGTGACTTCAGACTGGACAGAAGTTTGTGACTAACTTTGATTTATTGGCATCCCTCTGGAGATACCCCATTTTCCCGGGGTGTCTAGCCGGACTACTTGAAGGCCTGGCAGCTGCCCAAGGAGACCCTGTCTCCCGACCGTGCCTTCTCCTTGCCCCAGAGGTCTTTCAGCTTGCGGTAGTACACCTTGCAGCTGAACCCCTCCTTGAAGCCCCCTTTGATGTGGCTCTTGAGAGAGTGGAGGGTGGGGTACATGCGGCAGCAGGCTGCACACTTGTAACCGTTTTGCTGTGCCAGGTGCCACTTAGAGGCCATTAGGATATCCTGGCACGTGATGTAGTCCTTGGAGTCCAGGCCGTGCCTGTATTTCTTGGTGGCTTCTCGGGGGCAAGTGTTCTCAGGGGAGGAACAGGACGAACAGATGCTCTCAGCCATGTCCTCAGGAAGGCAGGTGTCCCCCCCGCCCTCATCCCGCTGCACTTCTGGGAAGCTGCAGACCTCCAAGTGGCTCTCCTTATCTGAGCATACGAAGTAGCTGTAGGGGGAGAACCAGGGCCGGTAGATGGTGCAGTTCCTCCTCAGCTGCTCCTCGTTCTGGGTGGCCCCCAAGGTGTAGTCTGCAAACGACAGGACTGGGTCTGAGCCTCGGGTGGCAAGCAGTGGGGCTGATGAGGCTGGGAGCCATGGGTGGAAGCAGAAGGGCAAGAAGCATCAGGCGTGGCCTTGGCGACCCTCACCCCACCATGATGGCATTCATTCTCGCTGCTTTCTTTTTCTCTTAGTACAAATGGCCACTGGATCTTGGGCCTGGAGAGGCCCTTTCCAGCTACTGAGCGTTGGTATTTGTCAGGTCCTTCCTCCCTGGAGACACCTTGTCCTCGGACTCCTCTCAAGGTAGACACACACAGGTGGTCCAGTGGACAGCCAGGCCCCTGGCCTCCTACCATCCCCCTCTTCGCCACTGAATGGCTGTGGTCATGTTTCAGCTTCACTGCCCGCCTCGACCCCTCCAAGCCCACACAAACAGAAGCTGCTCTTGCACACCGGCTTGAGAAACAGAAGGAGGGAGGCAAAGCGAGGCGAGGCAGGAGGCCTCTGCAGGCCTGCAGGCCTTTTCCCAAGGGAGAAGGGTCACATGGACTGCGGGTGGAAAGGTAGCACATGGTAACCAAGCTCACGGACACCCTTCCCTTAGGACAGCAGTCCTTGTCCATGTTCAGCTTCTTCACTGTTCCCGCCCAGAGCCAGAGAAGGCCTCACCTGGTAAGAGCGTCGTGTTATGCACCCCATGCCGGAGAGTACTACTTTGGTACAGGGGTGACAGGGCCTGAGCTGTGCTGGATGCCTCAGAGGGTGCCGCTGTCTTTGCGATGTCTGGGTTGCAGGAGAAACACTGGTGAGCTGAGCAAGGTTGGGAGACTGCTTCTCGGGACTCCCCAAGACATATAGAAGTGCAACCTCTATGCTTTAAAGCATCTCAAAGCTGAAGCAAAACAGTGACCTCTCATACACAGGAAGGCAGAGCTATTCTGGGTGACATCCTAGGGAATTCCAAATGGGGCAGTTTCATTCAGGCCTAAGAAAGATCCTCTGAAAAAAGGATTAAAGAGATGGCCCGGGTGACACCTCTCTTCCTGGCCCACCCCTCACCTGACCCTCCTACATCTCATCCCATGGATGACTTCATTCTGCACTGCAGGCCTCTGGACGCTCTGGGGCTGGGGTCACAGGCTGCGTAGCCATGTTAGTTACATGGTCCCTTTGAGGACGAGAAGCCTGATTCTGCAGTTGAAACATCTCACACCCACAGTCAGAGAAGGTTCCTGCAGGCCCTCACTGCAGGGCACACCTTAGCATAGCTGCTAACACTTGATAAAAGGCAGACCTGCCTCAAATCCCAGAATAGTAGCTGCGCTCACTTTAAGGCACAGATTCATAAATGTCACATGGATGGGCATATAGATGTTTCAGAAAACAACTCCACCTAGCAGTATCTCTCAAATTTGAGTGTGAATATGAATCGCCTGGGGATCTTGTTAAACATGCAGATTCTGATGGGTGGGTCCAGGATGGGGTCCTGAGCTTCTGCATTTCTAACAAGCTCCCAGGGGATGCTGATGTTGCAGGTCTGAGGACCATACTTGGAATAGCAAGTCCTCAGAGTGTCCGACTTTATTCCATAATATGCTCATCTATTATCCTGCTGCTGGGACTTCTCTGTTGGTTTGCCAAGTTGAAATCTTTTCCAGCTTATCAAAACAGAGCTAAAATTATTACTATTTTTTAAGCCAGGGTCTCACTCTGTCACTCAGGCTGGAGTGCAATGGCATGATCACGGCTCCCCGCGGTATCCACCTACTAGGCTCAGATGATGCTTCCACCTCAGCCTCCCAAGTAGCTGGGACTACAGGCAGGGCCAGCATGCCTGGCTAATTTTTTTTTTTTTGTAAAGATGAGGTTTCGCTCTGTTACCCAGGCTGGTCTCAAACTCCTGGCCTTGAGCCATCCTCCCACCTCAGCCTCCCAAAGTGCTAAGATTACAAGCATGCACTACTGTGCCCAACCTAAAACTACTCTTTATATATAGGCAGAATCTATGTTGAGATTTCATGCAGACTCTAGGGGGATAAAACTTGACAAATGTTTCCCCCTTCTTTCCTTGTCAAAAATCAATACACAGAAGGAACTACTTACCGTGAGTAGAGCATTTTGAAAAATTATTTTCTCCCCATATGCTGTTTGACTTTCTCACTATGTCATGGCCCTAGAACATGATCTGATAGAGTACTCAAAAGTTTCCCAGAAACCCACAAGTTTGCGGCCCTAGTAGCTCCAGAGTTTACCTGGCAAGCTGGTGGCACGTGAGGATATAATGTCAGGAAAAGTGCTCAGGGCAGAGGAAGAAACTCGAGGTCCAGAGATGCTGAGGAGTGAGAAGTTCTCCATATTCTGCCCACTCCAGGGTACGGAGACCCCACGCTTACTCCCAAGAAGCTGGCTGGGTTGTCCAGACGATCAACATTCCAAGCACAGTTGACATCACAAGGTCACATGATTCCGCTCACTAGCTAGGTTACCCCTTTGAAAGATGGAGTCTGTTGCCAGCAAGATTAAAACGTTTAAAGATTTTTTTCGACTTGTCATTCCTCAGTGGCCCGCCCAGGTTGAGAATACAGAGAGGAGGAAGAATGTGGTGGAGATATGGTAGAGATGCTGTCTTTTCATACCTTTGTCTTTATTCTCGTCACTTCTGTGTGGACCCTGCCACCCCCCTTCCCTCCACTCCAGAAACTTCTGTCCTCTCTGAGTGATCGTTTTCCTTTTCTTCTTCTTTATCAACCTAACCTTTGCTGCTGAATATTTGTGTTGTTTTAGTGTCTGTTGGGGTACAGGATATATATATATATCTCCTCCCTAGATACTCTCTCTCTCTCTCTCTCTCTCTCTCTCTCTGTCTCATGAAGTTTTGTTTTTTACATTTTCTTTGGCAATAATTTCAGATTTATGAAAGTTGCAAAAATAAAGTCAATACAAAGAACACCTGTATACCCTGGTGTTTATCAGATTTTCCTATTAACATTTGACCTTATTTGCTTTATCAATTCCCTTTCCCCCACTCCCCACCCACCCTGTGTATGTATACTTAACTTTTTCTCTGAACTATTTGAAGGTAAGTTACAAACATTATGTTCTCTGATGCCTAAGTGTCTCAGTGTGGGTTTCCTAAGAATAGGGACCAGATATTGTTTTCTGTGGTTGATGCTCTTTTCAGCAAGTGGCTAAAACACAAACGAGTAGCTCGCTTCATACCATTTTGCTCACTGTAAGTCAATTTGTGGCAGGACTGTGGACTCCAGAGAGGCAAGGTTGTCTCCTGCCTTTGCTTCACTTTTTTGTCAAATAGCAACCTGGCACACGAGTGGGATGTGGAATAAAGGTGAAAGATGATTGTGATGCTTTGAAGATAAACTGAAGGTGTCCCTTTTAGATCATCACAGCATGTCAATTAGATAACAGTGCTTTAGATCTCAATGGTGGATATCTTAATGTGACCTGGGGAGCTATGGCCACTGCAGAAATAGTGATGGGCTCCTTTCACGGTGGTGTGAAGCATGTATGAGCAGGGTGTGAGTCAGTTTCTGCACGTATGAGCCCAGAGTCATCTTCCTGCCTGTGTTTATTCACAATTCTTAAACATTTGAAGGACAATGGGAGAACATGATTTTCCTCGTGTTCCTCCCAAGTCACCTGGCTTGGAACATCAGAACATACTGGAATGTAACTTGAAGCCAGATACTTTGGCAGCTTTGAAGGTACTGACAGTTTCATTTTGGCCATTATGGTGTAGACATGGACCGTGGGTCTGGGCGTCAGTTTATGTGACTTCTAATGCCTCCTCCACCATTATCCTGAGTGTATCTTTCTGCTACTTGGTTTTCCTTCCTAGCTAAAATAGTGATTTACACGTGGAAAATAGCATTCATGTGAGTCATACACACACGACTCAGAGGACTTAGAATTTTGCTCTGTCTTGGCCCATCACGTTTTTCCAACTAGGAATTTTAGACACATGTAATGAAAAGGAGGCTCAGAATGTTGGGGGGGAATAGGGGCTGAATCTCTCAGTGCCTGTTTGTAGAGTTTTAAAAAATACAACCCCATTTTGGTTTAGTTACTGAAAAGTGTATGGGAACCTGATAATTCCAGGGTTTGTCACACTCCTAGTCACAGGGCCTCCGTGCATGCTATGTTCTCCCTAGGTGTCTTATTGCTGGTGGCCCAGGCAGGAGGTGACGCTCTCAAAGTGATTGGTCACTACGTAAAATGTGTCTTTCTCTCGTTTGTTTCCCACCTGCTTTCTGAGCCCCTTTCTTGGACAGGTAAGATATTCCGTTTCTTGTGGATGATGTCCACCCCTAGGTGCCCTCCTCTGCTTGGATATGTGCATGTTGGCGGGTGCTGGGGGAGGGCCACCCCACGGGGGTCCGGTCATCTTTCTCTCCTCCATCACCATTGCTTTCTGAACTACCAAGTGTCTAGTCTTGAGGCAGGAGGGACAGCGTGTGGGGGTCATTAGCGCCATCCACAGGAAGGAGGCTCATGACACACCTCTTGGGTGTGGGGATGATGGGAACCCCAGCAGAGCCCCCCACTTTGAAGAGGAGAGCAGCTTCTCCTGATCTGACCTCAGGAGTCCCTGTGGACCACTCCCATCGAGGGGTTTTTGAGTGTTTTTTTAATCAATGGACAAAGACTGGTGAGTACTTTCTCTACAGTATCAGCCCATCATACAGTCCATTTTAAGAGTTTATATAAAAGCCAAATTCAGTTAAACTGACTTATTAAGTGCCTACTGTTGGACAAGACCCTAAGCTTAGGCACTGTAGAAGATAAAAAGTAGCCCCTCAAGGAACTTACTGTTTTATTATAAACACAAGATGTATTTACCAGCAAGATTTAGACAACTGTGGAGTGTATGGTAGGCAATCTTTACATAACTTATGAATTCAGTGTATTTTGTAGATGACATTATGATGTGTGGAGAGCAAGAAGGTCAGGAAACCCAAGCTGGTGCATAATCCAGAGTTATTTATGTTTACTACAAAGTGTGTGCTTTAAAAGGGGGAAGGGGCTCATGATTTACAAATCACCTTGACAGGTAGTTTTGGTGCTTGTACTTATAAAAATGAGTGTGTCTGCTCTGAGAATCTAGTTTAAGCCAACAAGGAAAACACCAGAGAAAGATCTGACCCAGGATGCAGAGAGCATATGCTTTCCCCAGTGTTTCGTATGGTTTCGTGGTGGCCCGGATCCTTCCTGGTTTGGGAGAAGATAGTTAAATGGTTTAGTTTCCAAATCATTTTCACTGGTTTGCAGATTACATGGTTAAAGAAGAGGAGAAGGGTGTGGGACGTGGTAGGGAAATTGTGCCAAAATGGGTGACATGGCCAGATACACTCTTAGGAGAATCACCAGGTGCTGACGCTGCTTGTTACAGGGCAGGCTGGGTACCCCTGCTAGTGTGGTGGGTCTACTGGAGCACAGCCAGCTTGGTCCTTGTGTCCCAGTGATGCTGTCATGCAAGTTCCCTGCCACGTCCCACTCCGCTGTGGTGCTTTTGCCTGCACGTGCGTTAGGGGCCATTACAGAGGTGAAGACCACAGGGCTCATCCACAGAGAGCAGTCTCCACTCCTCCTCCCATGGCGTCCTCCCTGGCACCCAAAGGCCCTCAGAATATGGCTTATCCATATAGAATATGGCCTGGAGGGAATAGCACCACTGAAACCACCAGAAATAGAAAGTTCCACAAGGTTCCCCTGACCCAGGACACAGCAGTGCAGGGCAGAGAGAACTGCTCTAAGCAAAAATTCAGCAGAAGAAAAGGAACGCCCGAACCCCTGTTACTCGGTGAGAACAGACCCTTAGCAGAGGCCTTGACAAGGAGAGGAGCCTAGTGACCAAATGTAGCCTCTCCTTCCCCCAGACTGACAAAATATCTGGGGTAGTTGATATAGATAGAAACCTCTGGTCCAGTTCCAGGGCCCACAGTGGGTCTGGCTGCCTGGTTACTGAGCTAGATTTACAGATAAGGAAAGGATGCCTGGTGTGGGCATGTAAACAAAATGACTTAGAGCCTAGAGCTTTAGCCATTTGTACAACAAACTTTGAAGCTGCTGTCTTGGCCTCCTCAGTTTCTCGTCTACAAAATGGGTTTGTCAATTTAATTCAAGATATATACTGAGCACCTACCATGTACCAAACTCAGGCTGAGTGTTGAAGATACAAAGATAAATGAGGCATTGCCTCTGCTTGAAAATCTTAACAACCCAGTGGTTCCATACCCAGTTCTTGGAGCTCACTGTTCAAGACAAAGAAGATCCCTGAAAGAAGGATCAGGTAGCAGGCACATGTAGGCAGCTGTCCCATGATCCCAAGCAGGGCACAGTTGTAGAAAGAGCTTTGAGTTTTGGGTTCAGAGGCCCAAGTTCAAGTTCTGGCTCCCCCAGTAACTGACTGTGTGACGTCAGGCACGGCACTGCATTATACTGAGCCTGCCTGCTTCTTCCCTAAATAGGTCTCTCACCATGTCCCACCTCATTAGGTTGTGGTGAGGATGAAGTGAGCTGGTGTTTGTCAAGACCCTCATGCTTCACAGGCACTGGGTACCTACCCATTTGGGATACAATGACTCTAGACTTCTCCTCTGAAGTCTAGAATGAACCGACCCAACTCTCCAAAGTTCACTTCGGTAGACATGCAGAACTGCTGCCCTGTTTTCCATCGAGGAGATGAGATAGTCTTGTGGCCTTCCAACACCATGCCCCATGCCTGCTGCCCCGAGTCAGAGAGCTCAGCACGCACTCATTTGAAATATTGTGTTTCATTGCTTCATCCCTGTGTTTTCTTCACTTGAAGGACCTGATGACCCCAAGGTGAAGGGGTAAAACGGGTATAAAGGAATACCTGAGCGCCCTCTGTGTCCTTGGCACTGTGCTGTGTCCTTTTATTACGTCACTTTATTGTTTTTTATGGCTCCGGTTAGGCCCTGATTAATTTGGGTGGGGCAGAAGTGGAATCTCGAGTTCTGTGTCCCATCAAGAAAACTGCAGGGAAAAGTTCAGGAGCGCGAATATTTCCAAAGCCTTAGAAGCTGCAGGTTTTGGGGGTGGGGCAAGGAAAAGGAAAGCTAAATGACATGGCAGACACCCACTCCCCTCTCCTCACCGTCTCTCTCTCTTCCCTCTTTGTTCATAGTTGACCACAGCATGTTTGAGAATTTGAACACAGCCCTCACTCCAAAGCTCCAGGCCAGCCGCTCCTTCCCCCACCTATCCAGGCCTGCGGCTCCGGGCTCTGCCGAGCCTGGTGGGCCGGGGCTCTGGGTGGGCAGCAGCCAGCACCTCAAGAACCTGGGCAAGGCCATGGGGGCCAAAGTGAATGACTTCCTGCGGAGAAAGGAGCCCCCAAGCCTCGGCAGTGTGGGTGTGATGGAGATCAACAAGACTGCAGGGGCCCAGCTGGCCAGGGGTGCTGACGTGGCCTCGGGGGCCTGGCTGGAGGATGAGACGTGAGTGCCCCCACCTGCCCAACATCCCAGCCGCTCTGTGGGCCTACTTGAAGGGCTACAGGGACAAAGGGCAGTGTCTCCAGGGGAGGACAACCCTGAGGGGGGGGTGTGAGATTGTCATGTGGAGAAGGGCTGTAGGATGGGGCCATATTCATGGGAGCTGTCTTCGCCCCCACAGCACTGAGCACCCTCTGTGTCCTGGGCACTGTGCTGTATCCTTTTGTTGCATCACTTTGTTTAACCCTCACAGCAGCCCTGGGAGGTAGATTATCTTCCCATTCTACAGATAATTCGAGTTCAGAGAGGTGGAGTGAGGAGCTTGTGGTCTCAAAGTCAGTGCTTCGCACAACTGGACTCAAACCCAAGTTTTGCCCAGAAGCTCCCCAGGTGGATTCTCGTGTCTGGCCACTGCTGAGCCCCGCCGCCCTAGACTTGGTTGTGAGAAACCTGCCTTTGTCAGTGCCTACTGGGGCAGTGCAAGAGAAAGAAACCCCAGGCGTTTCTTTTCTATCCCCTCCTACCAATGGGTCCTCTCCAGGACTTGTTTTAAAACTCTATGCATTGAGGTGGTGACATCCTTCATGGGACTTATTATATGATGGGGTTCACCATGATCTTGATCCTGTCTTCTGGAGGCAGCTGCGTGCTGAAGACCTATACGTTAAACCAAGGATGCGAGTCCAAGGGTAGAGCGCCCGTTGGGTGGGTGGGTGAGTTGAAAGTGCAGTTGGAGTAGGAGAGACAGGAAGGCATTGTGGGCTGATGTTTCACTGTCCTTTAAAGCATGCCTGTTTATGATCAACCTCACAGGTCATTCCCGCAGGAAGCGTTCCCCCGGCTGGACCCTCCGCCTCCCATAACCAGAAAGCGAACCCCTCGCGCCCTGAAGACTACCCAGGACATGCTGATTTCATCGCAGCCTGTCCTCAGCAGTCTGGAGTACGGGACAGAGCCATCATCCGGGCAGCCCCAGGACAACCCTCCCACTGCCCAGCCTGTCCCAGCAGACGCTTCACAGCTAGAGGCCACCATGGAAGTCGGAGAGAAGGGCGAGGTTCTGTCCAACGGAGAGGTTTCCCTGTCGGTACCCGACCTCATCCACAAGGACAGCCAGGACGAATCCAAGCTAAAGACGACGGAGCATAGAAGGGCCTCCTCCCCTGGCCTCATCGAGCAGAATGGCCTCAAACTCAGCTTGAGCCCCATCAGCCTGGCTGAGTCCTGGGAGGACAGCAGCCCTCCTCCTCGGGCACGGACCTCCAGCCTTGACAACGAGGGCCCCCACCCAGACCTGCTGTCCTTTGAGTAGAGCCTCTTCTCTTTCCTGCTAAGTGCCACCTCCTCTTCCTGTTGCATCCTCTTCTGCTGTGCACACTGGCCCCCGCCCCAGTTCTGCCATGCCTTTTGCCTCCTTGCGTGGGACACCAGCAGAGGCCCGCCCTCCATCGCAGGATCTCACGGGGCTGGAAGTCCACAAGTAGTCCTACTTAAAGGTCGACCTGCAGAGTGGCCAAAGGACTTGGTGCCCCCTCTGGGTTGCTGGCTGCAGCCCTTGGGTATCAGAGCCCTTCCGTTCCCAAGCTTGTCCTGGCTTCCTATGGAATTATAGGGCCACCAGCTCAAGATGATGGGTCTTGCAGGAATCCTCTTTCCTGTCCCCCATATGCTGCCTGCACCCCTGCTCTTCCCCAACCCCACACCTGTCTCAGGTGGGGAATGGTGGGCTTGGCTTGATGATGGGCCCAGTCCTAGAAAGCCACACACCCTGACTGCAGCCCAGCCGTGGCCTCTCCAGGTCCCAAGACCCATGCAGGCCCGTGGTTGCCATCTTTCCTCCGCCCCTGAGGTAGAAGCCAAAGGAAATATTTACCGGACCTGAGACCTTGAGAGTTCACCCAGGGTTTCTGAGGTTTCCCCTCATCTAGTCAGATGCAGAATACAAAGTGAAGTTCCCCTGCCTGTCTACAATAGCACCTGGGAAAACGACCTCCCCGAGCCTCCTTTTCTGTAAACTCCTCTGGGTACCGGCTGCAGGCCTTGGGTGTTAGAATATCCCTTGCTGTGCGTGTAAAGAAGGGCTGGGTGGGCCCCTGCAGAAACAGCAGAGCATATTCTGATTTTGTTTTGAAAGGAGGGCCCACGGACTTGGGGGTGGTTTTGGCATTCAGGGCTGGTCCTGAAAGAATCCTGAGGAGACACATGGAAGAAGGAGAGAAGATGGGACAGAGGAGAGCAGTTGTTGGTATCAGAGCAGCTTTTAGGGGCAGCCTAAAGTGAGGCAGTTCCAGGAAGCGTGGTAAGTGTGGGAGACTGGAATGTGATTCAAGTCCTGGGGCCAACCACATTTAATTAAGAGGAAGTGCTGTGTGCTTGTGCTGAAGTTGTCTTGGTCTCCTGCAGCCTTGACCTCCCCTGGAGGGGCCTCTGGCCTGCCTTTCACTTATCCTCATGCCAGTGGGCCTCTCTCTGTTCCTGCCTTCAGGATCAATTTAGGGCTGACCAGGGTCATCTGACCTTAACTGCTTCCTGTCTTCCTGGGTTAACCCACTTTTGTGTTCCTGTCTCCCACCAGGGGTCCTGTCATGCTGTCTTCCCGTGGCCAGGAGACCCTGTAAGGGGGTGATCCCAACCCTGGGGGCCCTTGCAGCAAGAAGATAACATCCCTTTTCTTAAACAAGGCAGCCAGTTCCCCAGTGGAAGGCTGGGACCAGCACATCTAGCCAGGGCAGGCTGTATGGCCGTCCTCTTCCCGTGACTCCTGTGGCTTCGCTTGTTCTAGTCATAGTTTGGCTTCTCACCTGTGAGCTCTGAGATACCCAGGGCTGCCTTCCCAGCCCATCTTGTCTCCAAGCACCTGCTTCTCTCCCCACCATCTCTGAAACACCCACATTAACTCCCGCAGAATGGGGAGCCTGAGTGGGATGACCAGGCTGTGCATGCCCTCCTGCCTGTGTGGTCTTGCTGCAGCCCTTCCACTCCCCTCCCTTCTACTCTGTCTTCCATCACCCTGGCGTGTGAGGCTTCACCACGAGCTCACCGCCAAGCCGAGGGTCGGTGTGGCGGCACGGCAGGCCCTGGTGGAGGGAGCAGGGCCATGACCACGTGTGTCCATCCTGCCTTACCTCAAGGATGGGATGTCTGACCCTGACCTTGGAAAGTTGTTCTCAGAACTAGCGTGTGGGGTCCTGTGAGTTTTCCTAGAGTGGCTTGGGGCGTCACACACAACACGCAGAGCTGGGCTGGGGGTGGAGTCTCCAGACAAGGATCCTGGGAGTAAGCCCGGTTTCATCTGAGCTTTCCATGCCAGAAGCGGCTCTGACGAGAAAGCTAGCTGGCACCTGCACTCGGGCCTCTCCTTCTCCAAGGCCAAGGTGGCTCTGGCCAGGTGACATGGCGGCCACAGGTAGGGACATTGCAGAACCAACCTTGCTGAGTTCCCTTATCTCCACACCCTGACTGCTGCTGAAGCCCAGGCCTTCAGACCCAGGGTGAGCAAAAGGTATCCCAGGACTATCACCAGGGTGACTCCAGCGTTCTTCAGACTCATTTCTGATACCGAATAAGGCACCATGGGATGCTTCTCCAATCTAATTGCCCACAACTCAGCCATGCCCCTGCTGCAGGGGTGATACTGCTACCTCGGGAGGCTGAGGCTGATTCCTGGTCTCAGATGCTGCAGATATTGCCTGGTGCTAGGGGCTAAGTGCTGCCCAGAGCCCAGCGGGAACAGCTACTACGAATCCTGCTGAGGGCCTTCCATCCAACTCTTCCAAAGCCCCACCTGGTTTCTGTGTCCGTCTCAACGGTCCGACCTTCCTGTGATTGCAGCCTGGTGACTCTGCCCCACATGTTCCTCGTAGTGAGTCCAGCTTCTCTGGGAGCTGGGCCTTCAGACAGCGCAGCCCATAAGAGGGTGGGGTAATGAGGAGGAATGAAGACCTATCTGTCCACAACCACAGAGTTTCTTTCCTCTCTTCTCTCTCTCTGACTCCCTAACCCACTGTAATCCCCTACTTAGCACATAGCTTTATCCTGATAGACTACAGCGTGAGCTTCCAGAGCCTGGAGGAGGACGGCGGGTCCCCTGCCTAGAGGGAAGTGTGTCTGTGGATGTGGCCAGTGTGGAAGACACACGTGTATGTAATCCATCAACTTTTAAAGAACGAGAAGGTTGGCCCTTGTTTGGAGGAGGAAGAGGATTGCAGATTCATTCTGAGCATTTTCTAGAGAGTTGATATTTATATTTTTAGCAACTATTTGGTAGAAGGAAACTGAACAATAAAATGGTTTGGTTTGGTTGGTTTTGTATTTTTTCTTTCTGATTGCTGGGCAGTAGTTGGTTTCCTCAAGGCTGACTTGTCCTGTGGAGGGCACCGGCATTTTCCTTTGTGAGCCTGGAAAAGCAAGAAGTGAAGGCACTAGCAACGCAAGGAAGATGGGTGCTGCCGCCAGTTTCAATGTAAGACCCAGGTAGGGAACACGATTTCTCAGAAATCTGTCATTGTCATTTTCTCCTCTGGCCACTGTGAGAGTGTCCGTCTGCCAACCTGACCTGTGGTGTTTCAGAGGCATCAACATGGTGTGCACAGGTAAGCCCCTCTTTAGGAGGAAGCGAGAAGGAAATACAGATGGCCGTGGGGTCATCCTCTAAGTCACTGATTCTTTTTTTCTTTTTTGAATCAAGGTGTCATGCTGTTGTTGCCCAGGCAGGAGTGCAGTGGCATGATCCTGGCTTACCATAGCTTCAACCTTCTGGGCTCAGGCAATCCTTTTGAGTAGCTGAGACTATGCCTAGCTAATTTTTTTTTTTTTTTTTTACTTTCATGTAGAGCTGAGGTCTTACTTCATTGCCCAGGCTGGTCTTGAATTCTTGGGCTCAAAGCAATCTTTCTGCCTCGGCCTCCCAAAGTGCTAGGATTACAAGCACAGGCCACCATGTCCAGCCTAGTCCACTGATTTCTTAACCTGAGCCCACAACCCTCCTCCTCCAAGCTTTGCATTTCTGTCTTCATTCTTCTGGAGAGGGACCAAGACTTCTATCAGATTCTCACGTTTACGTCATCAGTAAACGTGAGCGAAACCCAGAACTGCTGACTTGGGCACTTTCTGGGAAATTGCTCCCAAGAGCCTCCCTGGGCTGGATAGCTTTGATGCTCACTTACTGAAAGAAAGTGGCTTGGAGAACAGCTAACCTGGAGCCCTTTGCCTCATGGCTGTTCCCTGCTCCCAGGTCAGTGTCAGATCCAAGGACCCAGAGGACACACAGCAGAGAATTGGCCAGACTGCTCACCTCAAAAGGAAGACAATGGGAAAGAACCAGGAAGGGAAAGGGAGTGTTGAGTCTGTTCGCAGAAGCCACACACATTTCCAAAGAGGGAAGGATGGGGCCTTTCTACTCAGCTGTCTCATTTGATTCCGCCATCAGAGGGTGTCCGCATGGGAGGTGTCTCGGGCATGAGGCTGCCCCTGGCCTTGTGTGTGTGTATGTGGCCTTGTGTGTGTCTTATTCTACCCTATAGCTCAAAGGAGATGTGAGAAGAGAACGGGCTCTCGAGGACCACTCAGTTTCTCTGCAGTGGGGTGCAGCATCGTTCAGGAGAAGGAGGAGAAACACAAAGACCAATCTAGCATATTCCGTGCACAGAAAAGGCACTGAAAATACAATGGCAACTTTTTTTTGGCTCTACACGTGTGGATGGCTTCAGGGTCTGTCCTGCAGCTGTTTGGATGTGAAATGTGCCTTCAACATGCCTTTCTTTTTCACTATTATGCAAAGCCGTTATTTTTGCCTAAGATCAAGTATAAAAAAATTTCTAGTGTAAAAAAAAAATTTGGAGGAAATTTTAAAGTGTAAAAATGGATGTGCATATGTCATGTTTTTTAACACTGTGCTCAAAGCTGAGCCGCTGGTCTAGACTCTGGTTGGGGGAGGATGCATTTATTGAGACAGTATATCCAAACCCCTGCCTACCATGAGCTCAGTGCTGCAGGGCACTGTGGCCATCAGTGGGACAGGGCTATGTGGTGCTCTCATCATTCTGAGTGAATGAGGATGCCAGCTACCTGCCCTCCCGGGCGGGCATTGTACAAACAGGGTATGTTATCAGGATGAGAAAGTGGAGGTGAAACCCCGCGTTGGGGGAGCAATTCATTTCAGCCGAAAGAGTGTTCGTTTCCTCTGGACTAAATCTGCCAATGGTTAGCTGCCGATGGAAATCCATTTCATTCCTTAAGTCTGTGCACATGCTGGTGGGGCCCCCAGCTGGTATTCAGAATTCATAGAATTAGCTAATCCAGGAATGTGCCTCAGATGATGTCCAAACTCAGAGAATTCTTTCTTGATCGGTGTCATCTGTCAGGTTTTGGGATCCCTTTGAGGTCAGTGAACCCAGGAAGTGTGCTAGGACTCCCTCCTCTCTCCATTCCCCATCCCCACACCAC